GTAAACAAACTGTTATATGAGATAGTTACACCTCATAATCTCGACGCCTCTTGTTTACTGGTCACAGAGAGGGTGTAAATGTTACAGATCCCGTGATCCCTGAGTTATGTGGGCTGAGAAAACAAATGAAACACTATACGATTGGTTTATCTCCCCTCACTGCTCTACATACTGTATACCCAAGCTTAAAATGGGCACCAGGCTGACAGTGTCGCCCCAACCCATTCCTGTAATATCTACAGTTATTTTGCATCTTCAAGGCGCCTTTCCATACCTCACCTTCAGTAGCGGTCTCATCATCTCTCCTCTATACACCATCTTCACCAAGTTTGCTCTTTTCTCCTAGGTTTCCTTCCTCTGATATACAGTACTTTCTCGTCTAAACCTCTGGCAACTAAAAAGTTCTTTGTCTCGGCTTACTCTAAAAAATCCCCATTACGTATAGTACCAGAGCTGTCTTTTATATACCATTCGGAAAAATCCTTATCAGTACATTGTATGGCGGACGGAACATTTTCGTTTGGATGTTTTTTTTCCTTAATCTCGCCAAAATGTCTACCTTCGAAAAGCATAAATGTAAAGTACATTGTCGATGTAATATACAGTACTTAAATGACGGTACTAACACGATTCACTTCTCGTCTCCTGTTAATTCTATACTTTTACAACAAGTCATATTAATGCTATCTCATAGTTATGTTTACTTAATAATAATCAAATGTTCATCATATTATGGAAAAAAAGCCTTGGATAGTGATGTATTATCTGTCGAGACAAAGGCTTGCTGTGTAAAAGAAACGAGAGCTTAAAATTTTCACCAAGAATAGAGATCGCCTGTGTGGTGCGGCGGAGTACAGGGAAGGAAAAACACCACCAGCAATTACTGTGGAGATTAGACAGGTGTCGAGGCATGATGAAGGGCGTCATTAGCGAAGAAAACGAGAGAAGTACGGCGACTCGGGCTACCTGTGGCAAACAAACAAGATGGACCTCCACACCAATGTCTGCTTTGCTTAAGATACAGTTATGTGTTTGAGTTGATGCAGTTGTTTGAAAGACAAAGAGAGCTTCATAAATACATACATCAGCGGGACACAGATTCAATAATTCAATTCAATGACAGAGAAAAAAAAAGAAATTGCCGATTCTTCTAAAATAAACCGAGAAAATAAATGAACGTACATGGTGTAAAGTTGGAATACTAACTCAAGGTTGGATGATGAGGAACTGAAGGGCTGCAGCTGTCTGGGTCGTGTAAATCGGCCTTGAAGGCCGATTCACACGACCCGTTTCTGTTCCGATCGTCAGGCCGTCGGCTTGGCGCCGTCAGAATGTTGGGTATTCACACGACACGTTCCCGGTCCGTCCGATACCGTCATTCAGTAGGGGACGAAGCTTTCCCTCTGAAACCCTACCCAGGTACACAGATTGATGATAATCAGAAAAGAGTTTATAATTACAGACTTTCACGTGCTAGGAGGGTAATTGAAAATGCCTTTGGCATTCTGAGCCAGAAGTTTTTGATTTACCAAAGAACACTGAATTTAAATCCTGAAAATGCAGATGTTATTGTTTATGCTACTTGCCTTTTACATAATTTTATTAGGGATGAAAACATTTCTGATCTTAAAGGCGATATGTCAACACACTCTCAAAATAACCTGATAAATATACCGAGACAACGCGGAAATGCTCATCAGACTGCATTTAATGTAAGGGAAAAATTCAAAGCATTTTTCAGTAGTCCTGCTGGAGTACTACCTTGGGAGTGATATATATATATATATATATATATATATATATATATATATATATATATATGTATATATATATATATATACATATACATATATATATACACACATCAACCCCCAGCCATTCGAACGCACGGCCCACGAGCCCATGACTGTGACCTGGGAACGCTAACCGCTGTAGTGGTGAGGCTGTAGTGGTGGGGCAGTAGTGTGGGACTGAAGTGGTGGGGCTGTAGTGGTGAGGCAGTAGTGTGGGGCAGTAGTGTGGGGTAGTAGTGTGTAGCTGTAGTGGTGGGGCAGTAGTGTGGGGCTGTAGTGATGGGGTTGCTATGTAGGGGCTGTAGTGATGGGGCTGTACTTGTGAAGCAGGGGTGTGAGGCTGTAGTGTGGGATTGTAATGTAGGGTTATAGTGATGGTGTGTACTGGTGGGGCAGTAGTGTGGTGTATGATGGGGCAGTAGTGTGGGGTGTAGTGGTGGGGCTGCAGTGGTTTGGCTGTAGTGTGGGGGTGTAGTGGTGGGGCAGTGGTGTGGAGCTGTAGTGGTGGGCAGTGGTGTGGGGCTGTAGTGGTTTGGTTGTAGTGTGGGGGTGTAGTGGTGGAGACAGTGTGGTGGAGCTGGAGTGTGGGCAGTGTGTGGGGCTGTTGTGGTTTGGTGTAGTGGTGAGGCTCTAGTGGTGGGGCTGTATTGGTGGGGCAGTGGTGTGGGGTAGTGGTGGTTGGGTTTGTGTGGGTGGTGGGGGGCTGTAGTGGTTTGGCTGTGGTGGAGTGGTGTGGAGCTGTAGTGGTTTGGCTGTAGTGGTGGGGCTCTAGTGGTGGGGCTGTAGGGGCTGTATTGGTGGGGTGTAGTGGTGGGGTAGTTGTGTCAGTTGTATTGATGGGGCTGTAGTGGCGAGGAAATAGTGTGGGGCTGCAGTGGTGGTGTTGGCATCAGGGGGCTGTAGTGGTGGGGCAATGCGGGGCTGCAGTGGTGGTGTTGTAATGTAGGGGCTGTAGTGGTGGTGTTGTAATGTAGGGGCTGTAGTGGTGGGGCAATAGTGTGGGGCT